ACTAATAATAATTGGATTAATTACAAATTGCCATTCAACACGTGATTTTTAGAAAAATCTATTGTTACAGTTAGATAGATGATCACTTTTGCTGCAATTTGGTATCAATTCTAAGAAAAACTGTTAACTTTTCACTTTAAAAATTGACTTCGAATGGGAGCATAAACTAACTCCATTAACATCTGGACAAATATGGACATAATTTATATATTTAGAAATTCTATTAAGTACCAGGACCACCTCGTCTCCACCCGATGTTTTGTAAAAATACAGGATGAAAACAATAACTTATTCTCGAAAAAGATCGTATGCTGTTAAACAAGTGTCTTCTGGAGAGGATTACAACATCATTATGCGTATTAGTATAAAATATATTTATGTTTTGCACGATCAAATGTTTTCACATTTCGTTCTAATAATGAAAGATGAAAAATTAGAGAGGAATGATATGCTTTGGTTTATATTCAGGTCTTCATAACTGCCATTGTCTTCAATAAATTGTGACCGCAACTGACATATATGAAATAAAGTAAGTACATAACATGAATTCAGCACGATTCCAAACATATGGTCTGATTCATAGGAAACAGAAATAATAGCAAGTACCACAACAGCTACTGAACTGAGTCGAATCAATTCAGCATGTACATTTTTTCCCATGACGACAGCCTTTCGGGCGATTCATATTTCGTTTTTCGAAACGTGTTACACCAGTTTCGGGGTTTTGCCCCTCGTCAGTGTAGGGTAGGTGTTATAGAGATATCAGTGAATAGAGCATGCGACATTCTTACATAACTGGAAAAATCTCTATCACATTCATTAAATCTGCAGGTAATTCAATTGCAATTAAGAATAAGAATGCAAGTGATTTCTATCACAATAAAGAATTAGACATCAGATGAAATGTCATGCAGCCAAATTGACCACCTACATACCGGTGTTTTTTGAGATGTTATTCAAATACATTCTTCTGAGAGTTGTCGTTCGTATGGGTGCGGCAGCTGATTAACGGAAAAACAGATTTAAACATTGTGAGGAGTTTATTCATCAGCATATCTCATGGTTTCACTACGCAACTATTTCAAGCGCACCATCAGGAACCATTTGTTTTGGTCTATTTGCCACGTCCATTATTGAGTTTAGTAGGGAACTTGAGGAGTATCGATTGTTGGGGTCATGTCGAGCGTGACCAAGATACCACAAAATACTGGCAATATGCGAGTACATGTACATGTTCCTAAAGTCCTGGCAACGGTTTTACAAGTACAATAATATCTTAATATTGGCTCGTTTGGTTCATCAGGTGCTTCTCCATCATCATATTTCCTCTTTGAAAATATCGTCCTGAAACTCTTCATTTTCTTCCCTCTGTAATGTATCCTGTGTACACGAAGCTGATAGTTCAACCTGGTATATACCTACTGTAAAATCTCTTAGATAGATAATCTATTGTAAGGCGAGGAAAATTTGGAATCAGGTTTCCATTCATACGGACCCACTGACCATTTCTCAGATGAAGATTGTCCACTTCCACTCAAGCCTGGATGACATTTACCTCCTGTGATTTTCGTAGCAATTCTTGTGCCAGCTGAGCATTGGTACCTCTCATTGTGACTGGGTTGATGAGTGCACCAGCGATTTGATANGGAGATACGGGGTGTTGAAATTGAATTTTTTTGTTTGCTTTTTGAAAATAACTCTTGCAAAAAATAAGTCATCTGCACGAGTATTGCATTGCAATAAGATGTACTTTCTTAGACAATAAAGTACAGTGATTGATTCAGTGAAATTGAAAGAACACGGTCCGCTTTCATCAATACTCAACATTGTGTTTTCTTCTAACTGAAAGTATACCGAAGTGCCAAGTTTTGAGTTCCACTTAAAGATTTATAGTTAGCAGACAAGAGTAATTTGAATTTTTGCAAAATTTAATGGTTGGAAAAACAAATATTCACGTAAAAATATTTTGAATTAATAAAATTAAAATTATGAGATTATCTTGAATAAATATTTAAATTTTCAAAGGGACATCGCCACTTACTTCTCTGTATTTTTGCAAATATATTTTTAGAGGTTCGACATAATTGTCAAATCCTAGACTACTCATAGCAACTAAAATGTCTTCTCCATTAATAGTTTTTCTCTTTTCCATATGACAGCGGTCACTTGCTTCACTCGTTATGAAACTAATGAATTCTGACACACATTCCTGTACACACTCTCTAGCATCTTTGGCAATCTAAAAGAGAACTGGTGAATAAAGTGTAGAATAAATAATTCAACCACAAAAGCAAAGAGTAAAGGTAATGCCTACTTTGTTAGTTACCTTTCCTGTCTCGGGAATGGCTTTTTTCATGATTTTTGCAACATTTGCTATAGGTAGGAAACGATCTTGTTCACGCAAGGGTGCTCCTATCTTTTCCCCATCATGATTCGAATCATCGGTGTTTTCAGCAGTGAGTTGATCATGTTCATCTGAAATACTATCACTATGTATTCACCTTTCCATAGAAATCAACAATTACTGTTACCATCCATTTCTTCAACATGGACCATGTACTGATCAGTTAAAGGAGTTAATGCATATGAATGTGTCATATCTTCCACTTTTTCCATCATCTGATTTTTCTAATCAAAGCAAATTTACCATTTTTTCACATCTGACAAGACTAAAATAGTATTTATGATTTTTCCAATCAAATGCCAACAATATAAGAGTAATTATAAGATATTTCAATTTCTAATGAGTGTTTTCCAAGGTTGCCACACTGTTGTTATGTCAGATAGCTGTCAAGTTGACAAGTTGACTAATTTATGTTGTGCTAATTTCGAAGTGTAGCATCTATCTTTCGAGATGAAACAAGTTATAGAAACGATTTTCGATTTTACGAAAGTTCGTAAAAAGCCAAAAGAAGCAAGTCTGGCTATAATATCAACTATTATAGAATACTATGAAATAAGTAGTACCGAACTAGTGGAAGCATATAAATTCTTTGCAAAGAGAATGGACTTGAATTTGAGAAACAAAAAACCTCTAATTCATCGTCTTATCGAATCCGACTCTGACATCAGCGATCTGGATAGCGACGATATTAT